TATATATTAAAACCAATTTAGATTGACTGTTTGAATGGATTGAAAGATTATATGTAAAAAAGTGTTATATAAGAAGAAGTGAGACTAAAATTATTATTTTTATTGTTTTTATTTTTTCTTTATTTAAAATTTATCATTTATATTAAATTTTACAATTAATTATATTATTTTAAAAAATTTATGCTGTCTTTTAAACCCTAAACTATTAAAATCTAAATTATAAAATTTTGATTATAAAAGTCTTATAAAAAAATCTTAAAAATATTATATTTCTAATTATCTTTTATTTTCACATTGATTCGTTTCAGATAAATAAAGTTTAAATCAATAATTATTTTTTTTATCAAAAATTAAAATTTAAATAATATTTGAAGAATTCGACTTTAAGTATTAATCAAAATTGTGTCCAACTTCTTAATTTTTTAAATTTCTTTTTAAAATCTACAAGATAGTTCGTGGTTACCTCATTTTATTTATCCAAATGAAATTCACTAATCACTCTCTCATGGTGCATGCTTCCGTTGCCGACAACATAGTTCGTGGTTACCTCATTTTATTTATTTATTTTACATGTTTTACGCAGTATTAATTAAAACTAAGCATTATTTTATCATCTTTAATTTATTTGTTAATTAAAGATTAAGGGATACTAGTAATTTCCCTTGGCATGGCGTTGTCTCAGAAAGGGACAAGTAGCACCTTCTCCACACCCATGTTTGTCTCTTTCACCCTCAATCTCTGAACACCAACTTCCAATTCAAACCCTTCTTCTTCTTCTTCTTCTTCTTCTTCTTATGGTGACCCCTTTAGATAAACTATCTTCACATTACTTGTCTCTTACACTGCATAGGTTTTGTCCTTTAAAGTTTCGTCCTTTTGTTTTTCTCCCATTTTCCACTTTCCATTCCTTTGTCACAAACATAGCGTAATTTTGTGGCAAAGCCAAAAGGGCTTCTGAATTTTGTGTGGTTGCGGTGGTTTCGGTTGTTGACTAGTAAAAGTGAGTTCCTTTTTAAGCACAGTGGTTGGTGAAGTTGTTTCTGAGACTTGGGAAGGTTCCCAATTTGTCTTGTAGTGTTAATTTTCTTCCGGGACTGGGAGGAGCAATTAGTCCACCTTAGTGGCTATTTCTTCCTTTATTATTGTTGTTATTGCTATTATTTTGGATCAATCACTTGTGGCATTTGGATAAAAGAAGATGAGGGGTGGGAAGAGGAGCATGATAAAGCTTAAGTTTAGCAAGATCTACTCATTTGCTTGTGGAAAAACAACCTTCCAGAGAGATCATTCAAGGATTGGGGGACATGGTCATTCCAGGGTGGTTGTGTGCAATGAAGCAGATAGGTTTGAGGGAGGGGTTTTGAGTTATGTTGATAATTCTGTTAGGTCCACAAAATACACTGTTGCCACTTTCTTGCCAAAGTCACTGTTTGAGCAGTTTAGGAGGGTGGCTAATTTCTATTTCTTGGTGGCTGGCATCTTGGCCTTCACAAAGCTCACTCCTTACACTGCTGTCAGTGCTATCCTTCCTCTGTCTATCATCATTGGGGCAACCATGGTGAAAGAGGGCATTGAAGATTGGCGCAGGAAAAAGCAGGTACTCTATTCTGCAGAATGATATATGCTGTAGTGAATTTTGTTTCATGAAGTTGAATACTTAGACCCTGCAGCATGAGTGTGTGGATTCAGACTGGTCTTCTCTTCTTTACAATTTTGTTTCACGGATTAAGAGTTCATTCCCAGAAATGTAAGCATGAGATTAATATTCTAATATTTGTTATGAGTTTTGGAAAATTATTCCAAAGTATTATTCATTTATAGGAAAGTTATCCTATCAGGAGGGGGTGGGAACATACTGAATATGGAAAGTTATATTTTAGGACACTTACAACTTCTCTTTTTAATTATATTTTATTTAAATTATTTTTAATTTTAAAAAATATTTCAAGAAATATTAGAATTTAACCAAACATGTTTTCTAAATATATCCGGTAATAACATTTCTGTTAGAATATATATTAGCTAACAGTATACTTCTACAGGATATTGAGGTGAACAATAGAAGAGTTATATTGCATAAAGGTGATGGCGTTTTCGAATATACTGAATGGAAGAATCTGAAAGTTGGGAATATAGTGAAGATAATGAAGGATGAATTCTTCCCTGCTGACCTTCTACTGCTTTCCTCCAGTTATGAGGATGCAGTCTGCTATGTTGAGACCATGAACTTGGATGGTGAGACAAATTTGAAGTTAAAACAAGGGTTGGAAGCAACTTCTTCCTTACACGAGGACTTTAAATTCCCTGATTTTAGAGCTGTCATCAAATGTGAAGACCCAAATGCTAATTTGTATTCATTTGTTGGGAGCATGGAGTTTGGAGAGCAAAAATATCCCCTTTCTGCTCAGCAACTTCTTCTGAGAGACTCTAAACTTCGTAATACAGATTATGTGTTTGGAGCAGTCATCTTTACCGGTCATGACACAAAGGTTATTCAAAATTCCACTGATCCCCCTTCAAAAAGAAGCAAAATTGAAAAGAAGATGGATAAGATTATTTACTTCTTGTTTTGTGTTTTATTTCTAATTGCATTTGTTGGATCTATTCTCTTTGGCATTTCAACCAAACGTGACCTGGACAATGGGTTAATGAAAAGATGGTATCTAAGACCAGATAGTTCCACAATTTTCTTTGATCCAAAAAGAGCAGCTGCAGCTGCTATATTTCATTCTTTAACAGCCTTAATGTTATACAACTTCTTCATTCCTATCTCCTTGTATTTCTCAATAGAGATTGTCAAAGTCCTTCAGAGCATCTTCATCAATCGAGATATCCATATGTACTATGAAGAAGCGGACAAACCAGCTCGAGCCCGTACTTCAAACTTGAATGAGGAACTTGGTCAAGTTGACACAATACTGTCCGATAAAACTGGAACTCTAACTTGCAACTCAATGGAGTTCATAAAATGTTCTGTTGCTGGAGTAGCTTATGGCCGTGGTGTGACAGAGGTTGAGCAAGCCTCGGGTAGAAGTAACGGTTCACCTATTCTTCATGAGCATATTAATAGATTAGAATCAAAATCAAATGAAATCAGGGACTCTCCTGATAGAAAAGAACCTATCAAAGGTTTTAACTTTACAGATGAAAGGATAATGAATGGAAACTGGGTTAATGAGCCTCATGCAGATGTTATCCAGAAATTTTTTCGCTTATTGGCAATTTGTCATACTGCCATACCAGAAGTGGATGAGGAAACAGGAAATGTTTCTTATGAGGCTGAATCTCCAGATGAAGCAGCATTTGTGATTGCTTCAAGAGAAGTTGGTTTTAAATTCTACAAAAGGACTCAGACTTGTTTGTCAATGTATGAGTTGGATCCAGTTTCTGGCAATGAAGTTGAAAGGTCAGTTATTTTCAATTGCTTTGTCTGTTTATTATCTTGACATCTAGGCTGCTGCATTTTTCCTTGCTAAACTAACAAAATTGTAGGATTAATTCTCATTGAGAAAGGAAAGGCACATGCAATTACCTAGTAACTTGTCATGTGATACCAGAAGTTAATTTCATAAAGAAAATTTGGAAGTAGTAACTTCTACGTACTTTTTCTGGTCTAATCAATATCTTCACAGGGATGTGGATCTGATATTGATACTTTTCAATTACTGGATTGGCCAACCTACTATGAGAAATCTAGTAATATACTCTCTTAGGGGGTGTATTGGATTCAGATTTTGAAAAACAATTTTAGCATGAAAAAGTTTTGTGAATTTTAATGGATTTTAAAAGATTTTATAGGAATGTAATGACTTTAAGGATTTTTTTTAAGATTTATAAAACTTGGATTTTAATTAAGACTTTGTAATGCAGATTTTAATGGATTTATATTATAAGATTTTAAAGGATTTTATGGATTTCACAGAAAAACATGGATTTGCAATCCTATAAGATTTAAAAAAAAAATATAACATAAATAATAAAGAAAAGTAAAATCAACACAATTTTTCTATCATTTGACAAATAATTGTCTCTATCTTTTGATAAATAATTGACTTTAACATTTTCCTAACTAACATTTATTCACATATCTAAAGTTATATTAGTCTTCTATGCATTGACATATTTTCTTTCATGCACTTGATACTGAATAATATGTTTAAAATTATGGTCTTCATTAACCGATAACATTAAAGATGAAAATTCATCCATTAATTCAATTGAAAATTCATTGGGAAGACATTCTTTGCAAAGAAAGTTATATAGTACTATATGCTAATTCAAGTTCAACTTGTGTCTTAAATAAAAATTGAGACCCTAACTTAAAAATTGTGAAGCATGATTTAAAAATACTAAATATCTTCTCAATCACATTTCTTAAGAATGTACGATGTAAATTGAAAACCTCATTTTCACTTTGAGGGTTAATATATATTTTAAAATTTTATTTTTTAATATTAAATTTTATTCAAAATAAACAGTTAAATTTTAGTAATTTAAAAAATTTAATAATAGATAATATTTAATAATACAAAAATCATTTTAAATATTTAATAATTATAAAAAATAAATATTGATAAATTATACATTAATTGATAGATAAAAAAGATAGGAGGGGACGAAGAAAAGATAAATAATAAAGATGAATAAAAAGAGAAAGAGAAAGATAGAGAAGAAAGAGAGAGAAAGAGAAAAAGAAGCAAAAAAGATGAGAGAGAAAAAATAATAGAAATCTCAAAAGATTTTGATCAGATTGTTTTATGAGTGAATTACATGAAAATTATACTAAAAAGTCTTACAAAATTCAGTATTTAAAATAATCCATTAAAATCTCTATATTTTTTTTAATACTAATAAACCTTTTTTTAAGTAAAAAAAAGTCTTAATTGAATATCACTAGATTTTGAAATACTCCTAAAAAAATCCTGATTTTTTTAATTGAATACTACCATATTTTGACGGACTCTTAAGAAAATCTTGATTGTCTTAAATTGAATACTACATGACTTTTTTATATTAAAAAAAGGGCTTTATTGAATACCACAAGACTTTTTTATAATAAAAAAATCTTTTAAAATCCATTGAAATCCTAATCCAATATACCCTCCTTAATCTCTTTCTGACACAATCTTTCTTATTGGTTGAAATTCATGTGGACCTCACTAAATCTGGCTCTCATTCCCCATTTGGTGGGTCCCATACCCAAACTAGTGGGACCCACAATTTCAACAAAAATAAAGATGTGGGACAAAGAGTGTGTTGCTAGGACCCTTCACCTACTATTTTAAAGTTGTGTATAGTGTAGGTAAATTTGTAACCTTGGCTTAGAATCATGTATGTGGATCCTAAAGTCTTAGCTTCCTCAGACACCTAGACTCTAATTGATTCTTTGATGTTGGTTTAAAATATACAAATGGTGGAATAAAATTAGTAAAACTGCGGTTGAAACTATCTTTTTTAACCTTTCTGCATATTTATTTATTATTTGGGTTTGGCATTTGATGTTAAGGATTTTGTGGGGAATTCAATTGTGAGTTCAATGTGAGTGTGATTGAAGAAGCTATGAAGCATGGAAACTCCTACTTGAGTTGTTCGAGGGTCAGACATGTTTTTGACATCAACACTTCTCTGACACCTATACAACAGGCATTTAATACTTCTCAGTTCTCACTAAGTGTCCAATTAATTTTTTTTGTTGGCTTTAACACTTGACCCAGCTCTGTTGCTTGACTTAGCACTTAAACTGACACTTCGTTATAAATGGACACTTCAAGGACACTAATGTTGTAAATTTTTTTTTTTTTTTTTAATGTTTAGAATGGTTAGTAAAATATAACATTAAAAATTATGCCTCTCAAATCCTCATAATTTTTAGGGTTGTTATCATAGAAAAATTGTAAAACTTAGCAAGTGTTTTGACTTTTGAGGCTTTCAATATTTCACTTTATACACAATTACTAATATAGCCAGATTAATGAGTAGTGTTTAACTTTATTAGCTGAAAGTGCTTGGGATTTTTTTATTGACCAAAATTAACCAAATGATTGTCTTCCTAATAAATTTTCTTAAGTAATTCTCTACTTTTAAATTAACAAAAAAGTTTAACTTGCAATAAACATTTGCTAACTATTTCTCTTAGGCCACCAGTTAAAGATTCAATAACAGAATGTTTTTATTCGAAATCATGTTGGGGATGCATTGCAAGTCATTGTGGGAGTGCATTGATAACATTTTTTAATAAAAAATTTCCACTTTACTTAAGAGCACAATGAGAAGATTCCAAGATAAAATAGCATGTAGCATGACTAACAAGGTAATGTTCATGAACCCTTGTTCTATTCAATGGGTCACATACCGCAAAGCCTGCATAGTAGGCTACAATACAGAGCGATAAAATGAGGTACACCGTCCTGACACATCGCTGCTATAGGGGACAAATGTAGCACTAAAGAAAATATATCCCCATATCTATAAAAAACTGTGCAGTCCCATCTTTACTTCTGAGTCATATTCCTCTTGCTTCTTGCTAAAATTGCAATGCATATAACTGTACCTATGGTTTCATTGCCGTCCCAAGCCTGGGTGAGGGAGGAGGGTTGTGTTAGGCCCTCAATAACCAGTATAAAACTTGTTGATGTACTGAACATGGCTGGAACTGGAAGAAGGGAAACAAAATTCAAATTAATATAGATTAAATTAGTGGGATGATGGTATTTGACTAAGTGACTTAAATTTTTAACGGATCAAGATGAGATTGGTGATAGAATTGGGATAACTGATAGTTTTTCCAAGGATAAACCAAATTTCAACATTAATACAGGATACTTAAATCATAATTAGTAAAATTTTCAACTTACCTGTTACTAGTCTACAATTAGAAAATACATTTCTAATTATATTTACATTTTTTTAATAGTTTTTAATTTCTTCCTCAATTACAAAAAAATTAGTCTTTGTAAGCTACAAAAAGTGAGGATGTGGCAACTAACACTTATGTGATTACTTAAAAACACATTATTCTTAATTCAATTATAGTTTATAGCTATCTGTGTTTTTGAATTTACTTTCTTCATGTGAAGTAATGTTGACCGGATCAGATTAATTTCATTTAGCAGAACATACAAGCTTCTCAATGTTTTAGAATTCAATAGCTCAAGAAAGCGGATGTCAGTGATAGTGAAAGATGAAGGAGGAATAATTTTTCTACTCTGTAAAGGTGCTGACAGGTCTGACAAAATAATTTGTAGCCTTCAATATTTTTGAGTTCTTACTTGTTCATTTATCCTATTGACTTGCCTTATGTCATATTTTCATGCAGTGTCATGTTTGAAAGGCTTGCCGAGAATGGGAGGAGGTTTGAGGAGAAAACTCTGGAACATGTGCGTGAATATGCTGATGCAGGTCTAAGGACCCTAATACTGGCCTACCGTGAACTTGATGAAGAAGAATACAAGCAGTTTGATGATAAATTTTCTGAAGTAAAAAATTCAGTAGCTGCAGATCGAGAAACGCTGATAGAAGAAGTATCGGATAAGATGGAGAGGAATCTAATCCTTCTCGGTGCCACTGCTGTAGAGGACAAGCTCCAAAATGGGGTAGTTTAGAAAAAAAAGTTCACATATGAAGATATATTCATTGGAACAGGACTACTCTGAAATTAAACCAAACAATATTGTTTTGCTAGGTTCCTGATTGTATTGACAAGCTTGCCCAAGCAAAGATTAAGGTTTGGGTTTTGACTGGGGATAAAATGGAGACTGCCATCAATATTGGGTATAATATTGTGATTATGTCTTTTTTTTTTAAGATGGCTTCTGTTTGATAATTACTTATCAAGATGTTTGACATGAATATACAAATGCAGTTTCTCTTGTTGCTTGCTTAGACAAGGAATGAAGCAGATTATAATTCATTTGGAGATTCCAGAAATTCAAGCACTGGAGAAGGTTGGAGACAAGAGGGCTATTGCCAAGGTAAAATAATTTTCACCCTTTAATCTTGTTTTACTTTACAATGATGTAGTTTGTATTGAAAGAGAGAACATATGAAGAGATGCTGAAACTGTGCGTCTTGACTATGCAATTGAATCTGTTTTGTATAAACTTAATGCAATAAATACAAATAAATATAGAAGATAATATTCCTATTTACATGATACAATATTACTATAATGACTAAGATTCTAATTAATGACGAAACATATCATAAAATAGAAAACAAAAATAAAACCTAACTGATCATCTAGGATACTCTAAAATAATCCAAGACTCTAAGATATAAAAAAAAATATTATTGATATTTTTCTGATTTTAACACTCCCCCTTGAGCTAAAGCGTACTAAGCTTTTAGCTAGTTGCAAGAGAACAATTCATTCCCCTGTGAATAAAAAAGAATTAGTAAACACTACCCTCCCACCACATCCTTCCGGTGCTTCCACAGTCAGTCACAACTTGCCCTTTGTTATTTGTTTTGCATTGGAGTGCTGCTGATGGTGAATCAGCCACGTATACATGTTATCTCCTTTCAAATATTGGAATACATTTTTGTTCATCCTTGAATTCTTTACTTAATCTTGCAAGTCAAAAGTTCTCTCTCTGCAATTAGGGATGACAATTCTACCATACCCTATCGTTACTGATGTATTGATTGAGGGGATTGAGTTTTCTAATAATAGATATTTTCTCCCCTTATCTCTCTTTTCTCTCTCTAAATAATTCCAAACATATCTACATTCTTGATTAAACCAACAGCTCCTAGGATCTTGGAGGTCTCATATTAGTTAAATATTGGTTTAGACATTAGAGAAAGAATGAATATCTGTTTCTCTCAGGATTTCTAGAGCATGAGATCCGTTCCTCATAATCTTTGGGACTTGGAAGCAGAATACTCCTAGTCTTGTCTCCTTGTCTCTATGGTCCAACTCTGCTAGATTCTGTTAGAATTCTAAGTAACAAGTAACAGTCACTAATAACTCTCTCAACTAATAGAAACCAACCCATTGGGCCTACATAAGTATCTTAGTGAACCTGTGTAATTGAAAATTAGAGCGCTGATCTTTATAGCTGATTCATGTTTTAGGCATCAAGGGAAAGTGTGCACCATCAGATATCTGAAGGGGCTCAACTGCTTTCTGCATCCAGAGGGGCCTGCCAACAGACTTTTGCTCTGATAATTGATGGAAAATCACTTACTTATGCTCTAGAGGATAATATGAAGAACATGTTTCTAGAGCTTGCAAGTCATTGTGCATCTGTTATCTGCTGTCGCTCATCCCCAAAGCAGAAGGCTCTGGTATGTTTATGTATATTCTGCATCCCTCTGTTTGACATGTCCTCATTTTTTGTTTAATTGTGATGATGATTCTGGTTAGCTTATAAAATTGTTTTATTTTTATTGGTTCCTCTCTTAAAGGTTACTAGGCTGGTCAAATCTGGAACTGGTAAAACAACATTAGCTATTGGTGATGGAGCTAATGATGTTGGAATGCTTCAAGAAGCAGATGTAGGGATTGGAATCAGTGGTGTTGAAGGAATGCAGGTACTCAAAATTTACAAACTATTCATTTTTTTTAAAATTGATTTTTCACTGGCATATCCTGCTTTATTACAAGTTTTTGTTTTGTATCCTCTTTCTTCCCTAGGCCGTCATGTCTAGTGATATTGCAATTGCACAGTTCCGGTATTTGGAAAGATTACTTCTTGTACATGGACATTGGTGTTACCGGAGGATGTCATCAATGGTATTGCCACTCAAAATGGATCTTGACATTCTATAGATGTAGGCTCTGAAGGCTGATCTGATCTGAAAGCTTTAGTAGTTATATTAACTTGTTTATTCTTCTGACAGATATGCTATTTTTTCTACAAGAATATCACATTTGGCTTCACTCTATTCTTGTATGAGGTGTATGCATCATTCTCTGGACAGCCTGCATACAATGACTGGTTTTTGTCTCTCTATAGTGTCTTCTTTTCATCACTACCTGTGATAGCCCTTGGGGTTCTTGATCAGGATGTATCCGCCAGGTACTGCCTGAAGGTAAGTTGACTGTTTATCGACTAAGAATATGTTTTAGATTCTCAGCTCAGGTCCTTCAAATGGTCATTTGCAAATAGTAGAGAATTTCTCCTTTTCTTGTCCGTTATGGTGTCAAAAAAGAAACTATAGAGGAGGGAAAACCGTGTAACCTGACCACCTCCTTCAAGAACAATTCAGCTACCTCCTTTGTTGTAAATGGGTGACCAAGGGCTATAAAATGTGCAAATTTAGTTAATCTGTCCACCAACTCCTTGGAAATGAAGTTATGAGTAGCTCCACAATCCACCAGAACCACTACTCTGGCTCCTCCTATTTGCCCCCACACCTTGAGAGATCTCCTAGACGTTAACCCCACTATACTATGCATAGATAGTTGGGTTTTGGGATTTACCTCCAGCTCTAATTCTTCCTCCTCTTCCTCATCATTTGCCTTGAATTCCCCTAATACCATTACATTAAATTGTTTATTTTTGCATGTGATTAGGCCCAAATTTCTCCTCACACCTGAAACATTCCCCTTTTCTCACTTTTTCCTTCATCTCTGCATTGGTCAATCTTTTAAATCTTGGTTTCTCCCTTGTTGCCCGGTTGTCCATGTGATTACTCGCTTTGGAGGATGCTTGTGATCCTTTATTACCCATCTCAAATGGTTTAGTAACTTTTGAAGTCCACTCCCTACTAGCAGGTTTAGTAACAACCGAACTCCATTCTCTACTAGGCCGACTATGAGAGAACCCCTTGTACTGCTCCATTGATCGCCCCCATGAATAACCACCTACCCGTGTCATGGCCGCATTTTTCTCCTCAATCTTCTTGGCTTTACACATCATCTCTGATAGGTTTCTTGGCTCATACAATTTCATCTCCGCACTAATTTCCTCCTTCAACCCATTTAGGAATACATCCATCAAATGTCTCTTCTAATCCTTTCATCGCCCCTGCATATTTCTTGAATTGCTTAGTAAACTCATTGACTGATTCTTCTTGTTTCAAACAAAGCAACAATTCGAAAGGACTTCGTGTCATTGTTGGTTGGAATCACTGAATTACGGCTATCTTGAATCTTTCCCACGACGGCTTCTCATTGCACATCTCCCACCAATGAAACCACCCAAGAGCATCTCTTTCTAAGGCCACCATCACTGCTTGCATCTTCTCGGTCTCGGTCACTCCTCTTAATCGAAAATATCATTTCACTTTGCTTATCCACCCATAGGCGTCCTCACCCTCAAAGATTGGGATTTCTAATTTCCGCCTGTTGGAGTATAGTTTTACTCCTTACTTATATATGTAGAATAGTAATGTAGATTATGCTTTATCTTTTTCTTTACTATCACATTTATTGTCTTTATTATAGACCAACATTGATTGGCTCTATATAAACTCATCTTGTATTCATTGTGCTGTAGTGAAAACATATTTTGCTTATTGAAACATTCTCTCATCTTCTTTCTTCCGTTCTCTCTCTCTTTCTCTCTCACAATTCTAATATGGTATCATAGAGCTACTCGATCCTCTTTCCCCTTTCTCTTCTCTGTTCTTCACGACAATCTTGTCATGGCTGAATCAACTCCCCTAGTGGTTTCTTCTCCCCCACCGCCGCCCCCTCCTCCACCCATCAACGCTACACCCCTCAATACCATCCCCTCAAAGAACCCTCCCACTAATCCCCCTCCGTCTCTTACCTTTTCCCACACCATCTCAGAAAAACAAAAGATGTGTTTATATACAAAGTAGTAGGCCTAGGCCCATAAGATAAAACTATATCTAACACTCCCCCTCAAGCTGGTGTATATAGATCATATGCACCAAGCTTGTTACAAATATAATCAATCCTAGGACCTCGTAATGATTTGGTGAAGACATCTGCCAACTGATTAGTAGAGTTAACAAACTAAGTAGTAATGTCCCTAGATAAAATCTTCTCACGAATGAAGTGACAATTTATATCAATGTGTTTGGTCCTCTTGTGAAATACTGGATTTGAGGCAATATGAAGGGCAGCTTGGTTATCACATATGAGAGTCATCTGTGTAACTTTGCCAAATCTCAGTTCTTTAAGTAACTGTTTGAGCCAAATAAGCTCACATGTAGCAGAGGCCATAGCACGATATTCTGCTTCTGCACTAGATCTTGCCACTACATTCTGCTTCTTACTTTTCCAAGAAATCAAGTTATCACCGATAAAGCCACAATAACCTGAGGTGGATCTCCTATCAGAGGGAGAGCCTACCCAATCTGCATCTGAGTAACGCACAACTTGGGTATGATTGTTGTAGCCATATAATAAACCTTTTTCCTGGAGCACCTTTGATATACTTCAAAATGCGAATGACTACATTCCAATGTCCTGCACATGGAGAATTGAGAAATTGACTCACCACACTAACCGAAAAAGAGATGTCAAGACGAGTTACTGTGACATAATTCAATTTCCCAACCAATCTTCTATACCTCTCAGGATCTGAGAAAGGCTCCCCCTAACTTAGTAGAAGTTTAGCATTGGGATCCATAGGTGTATCAACGGGCTTGGAACTCATTAACCCACTTTCCTCTAAAATATCCAATGCATACTTTCTTTGAGATATTACAATTCCACTTGATCAGGGAGTTGCTAACACTCACAATCAGGGAGTTGCTGCCACTTGATCAGGACCTCCACTTGACCTGCCTCATTACTCCGAGTATTTAAAACAGCATCTAGTTGCACCTGTAACTCCCAAAAGTGTCAGTCAAAACTTTCGGTAAGGGTTGAGGCTGTTGCTAATCTCCAATAGCCTTCTTTAATTGTGAAACATGAAATACCAGATGAAGTTTACTGTTGGCTGGTAAATCAAGCTTATAAGCCACAACACCAATCCTTTGCATGATTTGATAAGGACCATAAAAACATGGTCGAAGTTTCTCATTTGGTCGTTTGGCTAAGGATTTCATCCTATAAGGTTACAATTTGAGGTATACCCACTCACCCTCTTGATACTCCACATCCTTCCTATGCTTATTAGCATGGGCTCCCATTTGATCTTGGGCTTTCAAAAGATTACTTCGCAATTCTACCAACAACTCATCACATTGGCAAACTAATTGATTCACCTCTTCCACCTTTGAAGGAATGGTAGTACCTTTCAGCAATATTGGAGGATCTCCCCCATACAAAGCTTTGAAAGGTGACATTTTGGTAGAGGCATTGTAATTGGTGTTAAACCAAAATTCTGCCCAAGCTAGATGTGATGGCCATTGCTTCGGCTTTGTACTAGTAAGACAACGCAAGTAGGTTTCTAAACAACGATTTACCACTTCTGTTTGGCCATCCGTTTGCGGATGGTAAGCTGATCTTAACTTGAGGTGGGTTCCTGCTTGTCGGAATAATTCCTTCCAAAACTGACTCATGCATATTTGATCTCGGTCAGAAACTATAGAGGAGGGAAAACCGTGTAACCTGACCACCTCCTTCAAGAACAATTCAGCTACCTCCTTTGTTGTAAATGGGTGACCAAGGGCTATAAAATGTGCAAATTTAGTTAATCTGTCCACCAACTCCTTGGAAATGAAGTTATGAGTAGCTCCACAATCCACCAGAACCACTACTCTGGCTCCTCCTATTTGCCCCCACACCTTGAGAGATCTCCTAGACGTTAACCCCACTATACTAGCTCTAAACAACATGAGTCTGATGCCTGAATTTCAAAGATTGAATTGTGTACAACTCACATGAAGACATCAAAAGTGAGTTTGGCCATCTAGAGGTCCAACTTGTGACTCCCTCTACCCAATATGATTATTATAATAAATATAGGATTTTTCACAATTCAAAATAAAAGCAAAGGAATTTTCTAAATATTTTATATGTTTTGTAAGGTAGAAAGTCCACATTTTCACCGATACAATGAAATTAAAAATCAATAATAAATATTTTAAAGATCTGCTTATCACTTCAAAAGGTTATACATAAGTTTTACAACTAAATAATTTAAATATAAATAAATTAAAACAACTAAAGTAATATTTTTAAGTCTCGAGATCACCTCCAATCAAAGTATGGTATCCAAAACTATAGCCACAAAGGTCTAAACTTTATCATTTACCTCAACATATAATTAATCATAACTTGCAAATGACGTTTAGGCCAAATAAAAGCAAAGAAAAACAAACAAAAAAGAGTGACATATATCTTACTCATACTCTTGTTGTAAAATAAGGTTGGACAATCTTAAGCATTATAAATACATAACAATAATATAACATTTTATATTCAAACACATAAAAGAGATATAAGATGTAGTATGCATGTTGTGAAATACGCATGTGGCATTATTTAAAAACACACGACACTCGAAAGCTCATAAAATAACTTAGGAGTACATGCCAATAAATAGTCACTTGGTTAAAGGTGTCTGCCACTAAACCCTTTAATTAGGGAAAAGATTTACAAGGGCGCATTGGGGTCGCATGGTCGCACAAAGTCTACTCATACTCATCATAAAGTGTGATTGGGGTTCTCAAGCCAAACTGATCCGAAGGTCTTAATACAGTAATCACCAAGTGACCTCCTTGACATTGGTTATTCCAGAACGGGTTGTTTTCAAAGTGAAACAGGTCGTTCCAAACTTCTAAATATGACTAAAAAACATAGTTGGAAACGGGCCGTTTCAGTTATGATCAATGTGTGTTAAAATCAACCTAGAACGGGCCGTTCTAATTTTGAGAACGAGCCGTTCTAGTTGTAAATTTTGCATATAACGGATGGGTCCAGAACGGGCCGTTCTGGTTTGAGAATAGGTCGTTCCGGCCACCCCTGAATGCCTATAAATAGGAGGGAGGGGCTGTGAAAAATTATAACTGATGGGTTCCTTCTCCATGAAATGACGTAGAGATGATGGAGAGGAAGCCTTGCCCTTGATCTAGGTTCAACAAGGTGGACAAAAGGAGGAGATATGGTGAAGGAAAGGAGGTTGGCGTGAAATGATGGGGTTTGGGCGGAAGCACTTAGGGTGGAGGTGTTTGGGTGCTCAAAGTTGGCTCACTCCAAGGTAGGTGGAGGCCACTCTAGGTTTCACTCTCCAAGGGTGGAGAATGAAGGAAGGCTAGCCGAAGCAACCCTAGGGACT